GGAGGAGGAGGAGAGGGGAGATTGGAGGGGAGAGAGGGGAGGAAAGGGGTATGGGAAAGAGGGGAAAGGGGGTAGTGGAATGGGGGAGAGGGGAGAGAGGAGAGGAAGGGGTTATGGGAGAGAGGGGAGAGGGGAATGGGAGAGAGGAGTGAGGGGAAGGAGGAGGGGGAGAGGGGAGAGAGGAGAGGAAGGGGGTATGGGAGAGAGGGGAGAGGGGAATGGGAGAGAGGTGTGAGGGGAAGGAGGAGGAGGAGAGGGAGGAGAGGGGGAGGGAAGAGGGTTGGGAAAGAGGGAAGAGGGGAATGGGAGAGAGGGAAGAGGGGAATGGGAGAGAGGGGGGACGGGGATAGGAGAGAGGGGGAGGGGAATAGGAGAGAGGGGGGAGGGGGATAGGAGACAGGGGAGAGGGGAATGGGAGAGAGGGGAGGAAGAGGGATGGGAAAGGAGAGTGGAGAAGAAGAGGGATGGGTAATAAAGAAGGGAGGAAGGGTGAAAGAGGAGGAAGAGGAATGAGAATAATTAGAGGGGATAGAAAAAGGAGGAAGAGAAAGGGAAAGAGGAGGAAAGGGAGGGAGAAAAAGTGTGGACGTGAGGATTGGAAGGGAGAAGAAGCAAGATGGAAATAGGATGGAAGAGAGAAGATGAAGAGGAAGAGGAGAAGAATAACAAGGAAAGGTGTTTGGAAGGGAAAGGAAGACAGAATAGGTAGGAAAGAAAGGAAGTGAAGTATGCAAAGTAGGGAAGAGGGGGAAAGGGAGAAAGAAGGAAAGAGGGAAGGAAAATAGGAGAGATACGGTGAGCAGGAGAAAGAGGATAAGGAAGAAAAGGGGTGAAGAAGAGTGATTAGAGAGAGAGGGGAAGGAAAGGGAGAAAGATGAGGGGGAGATGATAGAAAAGACGGGATGACAGAAGGAGAAAATGAGAAGAGATAAATTGGGGAAATGCAATGGCAGGGGAGAAGGAAATATGATAAAGAAAAAGGGAAGGGCAACACAGAGAGAGAGGCGACGTAAAGGGAAGGAAGAAATGAAGAGAAAATGAGAAAAGAAAAGAGATATTGAAGAGAATGAAAAAAGACTAAAAGGGAAAGGGAGTTAGATAAAAGGAAAGAATAGACAAGGGGAAGAAGAGAGGGAAAATATCAGTAAAAGAGACACAGAGGCAAGGGTAGACAAAAAAACGAATGATAATTATTAGAATAAAAAAGGAAAGGAATGAAGATTACAGAAAAGGGAAAAGTGCAAAGGAAATGAAAATGGGTGATAGAAGGATACTGAGAAATAGAAGGAAAGAGAGTAGAGAGAGAGAGAGAGAGAGAGAGAGAGAGAGAGAGAGAGAGAGAGAGAGAGAGAGAGAGAGAGAGAGAGAGAGAGAGAGGAGAGAGAGAGAGAGAGAGAGAGAGAGAGAGAGAGAGAGAGAGAGAGAGAGAGACAGACAGACAGAGAGAGAGAGAGAGAGAGAGGAAGCAGTACAGAAGGAGAAGAATAAGAAAGAAAAAATATCCAAAGAAAAAAATAAATCGAGTAAGTGAAAGGGAACAGTTAAAGAATAAGAAAGAAGGGAGAAGAGAAAGAGAAAAAACTTTGAACGGATGAAAGTCATAGTAAGTCCGCGCGTCCCTGTGTCCCGTCAGCAGTTTCCGGAATAATAAAGTAGGACAGAGTAGAGAATGCTAAAAGAGGAGGAGGAAGAGCAGGAATAATAAGAAAGAAAGGAAGGGGAGGAGGGAGGGAACAGTAGAATTGGACAGAATAGTAGAAAGTTAGGAAAGAACTAAAGGAGAAAATGAGTAAAGGATAGGATAAGTGAGGGAGCATGGAAGAAAGGGAAGAGGAATAACGGGGAAGAGAAAAATAAAAGGGGAAAGGAACGCTTAACAAAGGGGAGGAGAGAACAGTGAGAAAGATTTATAAAAAGCGAATTGAACAAGAATATGAAGACGGAATGAAAAGATGGCAGAAAACAGACGAGACAAAGGAAAAAAATAATGAAATAGAAAGAAAGGGACAAATGGAGAATAAGATGGGGAAGTGAAGTAAACAAAAGAATCTGGAATTGGGAAATCAAGACGATACGTAATCAATGACAATGAGAGAGAGGAGATACAGTGGTTAATGAAGGTTAAAATAACTTTAAGAAGGAAAAAACAAAGAAAATAGGAAAGAGAAAAGGTAAAAGGAAGTGGTAGATAATATATTAAACGCAGTTATAGATTCAGCAAACTAAAAAATGGAATAATAATAAAAAGCAAAATGATACACGAAATCCAAATCTCATCCTAAGCGTTGCAAATAGATGTTTATAAAAGAGAAAAAGTAAATATATGGGCGGAGAAATATGATTTTTTTTTTACTAATGGACCATTGTGAGAAAAAAAAACACTAAAAAAAGTCTGCTCTCATATTAGAAGCCATGATGATGTTTTTTGGTAAGTTGAAATAAATATTCATGAACTAAAAGCTTTATTCCATTTTTCGAAACCATTCATAATTTGTTTGTT